TCCATCACTGCAGAGAAGGCAGGTCTACTGCTCCACAGCCCAATGCTGGGGGGCGTTGTACTCCTCAGGAAGACCCCTAGGCTCATGTGCGGCTGCTCCAGAGCCATTCTAAAGACACTGCTTTTGTATGGCGATTAAACTGACTCCCCTGGGTCCCCATAAATAATAAAAATATATTCCAAAAATATTTATCAAATTTATGTTTACATTGTATGAAAATGTCCTAAAATATGGAGCCCTGCTGGTGACATCCCATATAAATACTAAGTTGTGGGCACGAGTTAATTATCATGTTTTTATACCTTACTACAGAGCCCCGCCAGTGACATCTTGTATAAATAAAAATAATGTGTGGCCACGACTTAGTAAGGCATGGGAATGAGATGATGAATTCGTGGCCACGATTTAATAAAGTGTGGGAACGAGATCCTAATGCGTGGCCACGACGTAGTAAGCTGTGAACTCATTCCCACGCCTTACTAAGTCATGGTCACGCGTTAGGATCTTGTTGCCACGCCTTACTAAGTCGTTGTCACACATTATTTTTAAATATATTGAGTATCAATACCTACAACTCTCGCTTTTGTCATGTTAAAGGTTCAGTTGATAATATTTAAAATTAAGACACTGGAATACAAATTCATTTCTAAAGGTATCAGACAGTGAAGTGCATTCGACAAATATTTTCTTACTTTCTCAAATGTATTTTATAAACACATTTACATACATTTATTTTGTATGGTAGATTTCTATGTGTAAAATTTCCCCATACATTTTAAATATATTTTGTTACTATGGCACCGTATTGTAAAATACATTTTAGTGTTTGGAATGTATTTTGGCTTGGACTGCAATGTGCTTGAGATGTATTTCAAATATATAAAAATATATGTCCATATATATTTTTCCATATAAATCAGCAATGTGTGCACCTTGAAGTAGCTGAAGTCACTAATGTTAAGGGTTGTCTGAATAGCCAGTGGAGTCAGTGGCCTAAATATGATGTTCTAATGTTTATATATATATATATATATATATATATATGTTCCTCGTTAATCCCGGATATAAAGGCTGTTTCACACAGAAAGATCAGTTGGCGAGATACACAATTTCATAACTGCATTGCAACATTTATATTTTCTCCTTTTTCGAGACAAGCTCACCCGATTTACTGATAAATTTCCCTTCATGCCTCCCCAGCTGTATTTTTATTTTATTTTCACTTAACATTTTGCCATGACCCCAGCTGACCACTGTTTATTCCAAAACTACAAAAAATAGGCACTGAATACTTGCACAATTAAAAATAATTATAAATAATAACAAAATATTTTATATAAAACAATAGACTACATTAGCTACAGATAAATGTTAAACCTCTTTAAATGTCCCCGGTGTACAGTAGGCTTTTAAAACTGCCCATTCGCTTGAACTGGACACCTGGCACCTTTTTGTGGCGCTGTCCCATAGATCATTGTTGACTGATGCGCTTGGCCGCTGGGTGGCGCCATTCTACAATAAATACTGGACGACAGGCGTGCAGGAGAGTGGTGGATGAGGCCTGTGTTGATGCCTGGGACCTTAGTCAGCCTTGTTTCCTACACAAAAAAGAGGAACTTGTGCTCTCGTATAAGACAGAACAGCCGTTGGGTTATAAATTCTAAATATGACAGACTGTTTTCAGTCCTGTATTCACACACATTCACACCCAGTCTAACTAGTGAATTCAGCTACTTTAAGGTGCACCCATTGACACACACACACACACACACACACACACACACACACACACACACACACACACCTCTGCGTTAAAAATAACTGCCAATGGAATGCCACACTTTAAAACAGCCACACATGAGCATTAGGTCTCCAAATGCTGACCTGCTGATATGAAGCTTCCCAGCATTGAGCAGTGGAGCTGCGTTTTCTGGAATGATGGAGCTCCATTCAGTGAGCTGGAGTGGCGTTTGATATAGAACTAATCAGCCAACATCAGCACCTGACCTCACTAATGCTCTTGTGGCTGAATGCAATCAAATCCTTACAGCAGTGCTAGTGTAAAGATGTCCTAGAAGAGCAGAGACTTAAAAGTGAACACCCTGTTAATACACTTGATTCCAGATGAAACATCGAATAAACAGGTGTCTACATACTTTTTGACATTCAAAGCTTTGGACTTGGCTTTCTGGTCAGCCTTGCTGTTTTAAAATATAGATTTATAGTTAGATTTCCAGATTTTTCTATGTCACATTGTCTTTTTAGAGTCTCATAGCGTTCTAGTTTACTTCATACTCTTTCAAATAATCATTCTTCCTCTGTTAACCTGATTTATTTTTAGATTTGGCTCTAATGCTGTACTGATCTGAAGCTGCTCTGTGGTAACGCCTGTTATTGGGCTCGTAAACCTCAAAATCAGCTGACTAACAGTCCGCAGACACAGGCACCTTTTTAACTTCAACAAACAGTGGTTAGTGTCTTTCTTTCGTCGTGCGTATGACTGGTTACGTAAGGTTTTACCATTTTGTTGCCAAAGGCTGCCAAATGTTAGACTTTCCTTTTGATTTCCATTCATCTGGACCATGTTTTGATCGATCTACTGCCTAAATTCAATTTCAATTAATTTGTCCCTCAAGCATTCTGCTGCCTTGAATTATTGATATGATTCTACTGATGACAATGAGTTTTTAACTCTTCAGTCAGCAGTGTGCGCTACACTCACAGAGGTTTTGTATATAGTTTAGTTCCGCACAGATCAGCTGTGAATATGGTTATATTACTGGTTATGTTCTAACTGAAATGGATCTCAGTACACTGGGCATAAGTGTTATGGGTCAAAATTCAGTATTAATTATAATTCAATGGTAGTTTAATGTGTTGATATTCAGCGTTTAGCATTAGTTTTAGACCTTTAGCTTAACAGGCCCTCAGTTAACAAGTTCACCTTCAGTATTTAAGTAACCAGTTAGCATTCAGTGTTAGTTTAACAGGTTCAGGTTCAGCATTTGTTTAATAGGTTCCAGCATTAATTTGATTGATTAACATTCAACATCGGTTTAACAAGATAATTTTGGCTTTACTTTATTTTTTCATTATCTGCAGTAGTTTAATGGCTCATGGTGGAATTCCTAAGATTTTTTAAATGTCTCTATAATTTAATCAATAGGAAGTAAACGTTATTAGATAAAACTGTTACACTGCCTGGTGACAAATACATAGTTTTGGCTGAAACCCTAGACTATGTATGCCAAATAGTACTCAAAAACGTATCATTTTATTTACTGATTTATTTTATTTACTGTTTTACTGTTATCAACATTATATATAAAAACGTGAGCAGGTTTACTGGTAATTTGGATAGTAAATGGTATAAAATGTTGTAGACATCGTGACCTCTCACTCCTGTCACCTGTGACTGTTTACAACTCAACAACTGAATTGTGCAGAAATTTCGAAAATCGATGGAATGTGATTTTAACATTTAGCATTGCTTTTAATAGGTTAACTTTCAGTGTTAATTTAACAGGTTAATGCTAAACATTAGTATGATTGGGTAATGTTGAGAGTTCATTTAATGGGTTAACGTTCAGAGTTAGTTGAATGGGTTAATGTTAAGCATTAGTATCACTGGTTAACGTTCAGCGTTAGTATAGCAGGTTAACATTAAACGTTCAGCGTTAGTATAGCAGGTTAACATTCAGCATTGGTTTAAAGGGTTAATGTTCAGTGTTAGTTTAAAGAGTTATGGTTCAGCGTTAGTTAATGGGTTAACGTACAGCGTTACTATGATGGGTTAACGTTAAGCGTTAGTATAATTGATTAACGTTCAGTGTTAGTACAACAGGTTAATGCTCAGTGTTAGTATGACGGGTTAATGTTAACATCAGTATAATGGGATAACATTAAGTGTTAGTTTAATGGGTTAACGTTCAACGTTAGTTTAAAGGGTGAACGTTCAGCTTTAGTTTAAAGGGTTAACGTTGAGCATTAATTTAAATTGTTAACATTCAGCGACAGTAGCATGAGTTACATTCAGCGTTAGTTTAACAGGTTAACATTAGTTAACAAGCGTTAGTAAAAACGGGTTAACGTTCAGCGTTAGTATAACGGGTTATGTTCAGCATTAGTATCATGGGTTAACATTAAGCGTTAGTAAAACGAGTTAACGTTAGTTTAAGGGGTTAATGTTGAGTGGTAGTATAATTGGTTATGGTTAAGCATTAATATAATTGGTTAATTTTAGGTGTTTGTATAACGGGTTTACTTTCAGCGTTAGTTTAACAGGTTAATGTTAAGCGTTAGTATAATTGGTTAACGATAGGTGTTTGTATAAGGGGTTAACGCTCAGCGTTAATTTAACATTCAGTGTTAGTATAACGGGTTATGTTCAGCATTAGTTTAAGGGGTTAATGCTGAATGGTAGTATAATTGGTTATGGTTAAGCGTTAATAGAATTGGTTAACGTTAGGTATTAGTATAAGGGGTTAACGTTAATTGTTGATATATTTGGTTAACGTTCAGCGTTAGTTGAAGTGGTTAATGTTAAGCGTTAGTATAACGAGTTAACGTTCAGCGTTAGTTTAAGGGGTTGATGCTGAGTGGTAGTATAACTGGTTATGGTTAAGCGTTAATATCATTGGTTAACGTTAGGTGTTTGTATACGGGGTTAACGTTCAGCGTTAATTCAACATTCAGCGTTAGTATGACGGGTTACACTGAGCAGTGCGCAGGCTGGGATGCGGAACTCCGCTCTAGCAGATTCATGCGCTTCATATCCGACCGAATGGAGGAGCAGCTGCACCGCAGAACGAGCGGAACATGAAAACGAGCCGCGCTGCCATAGCGCGCGCTCTCTCTCTCTCTCTCTCTCTCTCTCTCTCTCTCGCTCTCTCTCGCTCGTTTCCTTATACGGCTGCACGCCAACAGAAAAAGAAAACATCACCACGAGCCTTCCCCCTTTTTTCCCGTCTCCCCTCGCGCCATAACAAACGCTTGCGTCGCTCTCCAGCGCGCAGACGCGAATCGCCCGCTGCTCGCGCCGTGCACGGTTCTCGCGCCTCCGCGGACACAAGCAGCTCCTCCATCGCGGACTGAAGCTGATTCTCCTCTCCTCCTCCTCCACCGCGCGCGCCTCCGGTTCGGTCATGCCACCGGCGCGCGTCCGGAGATGAGGCTCCGAAATGGCACCTTCCTGACAGTCTTAGTGTTCGGACTGTGCGGGCTCTTCTCGCTGTCCTGGTACACCGCGTTCAGCAACCCCAAAGGTGAGCTGCACGGGTGTTTATGTGTTAACGGAGCGTGGGGCGCGCGTGCGATTCACGGCCGTAGCCTGACAGCACACGCCGGTGTCTGTCTGTGTCCAGTGGCGCAGTGAAGCTGCTGCTGGACCTCCAGCGTTCAGCCTTCAGTAGACATCAGCTCAGCTCCTCAGCTCTGCACGCGCAGCCCTGTCCTTCACTGTGTGTTGTCGCTCCTTCATAAAGAGAATTCCGCTCTTTTTTGGTCGCGTGAGGAGGTCAGTGATGGTGGGCTGAGCCAGCATGTGCAGTTTGACACACAGGTGATGTGGGGTGTTGGTGGGCGTCTGGTTCCTGGGTGGTTCCGCCGTTTGAGATCAAAACTAAGGTGCCTAAATGCAAATGGAACCTACAAGCAGGCAATGCTGGTCAAATAGGAGTGTGCATTTTATGTGTAGTCTGTGTGGTGGTCAAGAGTGAGCGTGCATTACTGCTGTAGTCCAGACTGTGGTCAAGAGTGAGTGTGCATTTCTCATGTAGTTTGTGAGATGGTCAGAAGTGAGTGTCCATTTCTCCTGCAGTCTGTTTGATGAACAAAGTGAGTGTGCATTTCTACTGTAGTCCATATGATGGTAAGAATGAACGTGCATTTCTCCTGCTGTCTGTGTGGTGGTCAGAAGTGAGCATGCATTTCTGCTGTAGTCCAGACTGTGGTCAGAAATGAGTGTCCATTTCTCTAGCAGTTCATTTCATGGTCAGATGCAAGGTTGCATTTCTCCTGCAGTCTATAATGATCAAAAGTGAGTGTGCATTTCTACTGTAGTCTAAATGATGGTCAGAAGTGAGTGTCCATTTCTCGTGCAATCTGTATGGTGGTCAGAAGTGAGCGTGCATTTGTGCTGTGGTCCATATGATGGTCAGAAGTGAGTGTGCATTTGTGCTGTAGTCCATATGATGGTCAGAAGTGAGCATGCATTTCTGCTGTAGTCCGGACTGTGGTCAGGAGTGAGTGTGCATTTCTCATGTAGTTTGTGAGATGGTCAGAAGTGAGTGTCCATTTCTCCTGCAGTCTGTTTGATGAACAAAGTGAGTGTGCATTTCTACTGTAGTCCATATGATGGTCAGAATGAGCGTGCATTTCTCCTGCTGTCTGTGTGGTGGTCAGAAGTGAGCATGCATTTCTGCTGTAGTCCAGACTGTGGTCAGAAATGAGTGTCCATTTCTCATGAAGTTTGCGAGATGGTCAGAAGTGTGCATTACTACTGTAGTCCATATGATGGTCAGAAGTGAGTGTCCATTTCTCCAGCAGTTCATTTTATGGTCAGATATAAAGTTGCATTTCTCCTACAGTCAGTTAGACGAACACAAGTGAGTGTGCATTTCTACTGTAACGCATACGATGGTCAGAAATGAGGGTGTATTTCTCCTGTAGTCCATATGATGGTCAGAAATGAGTGTCCATTTCTCCAGTACTTTCTATCATGGTCAGATATAAGGTTGCATTTTTCCTGCAGTCTATGTGATGATCAGAATATCAGAGTGTGCATTTCTACTGTAACCCACGTGATGGTCAGATTTGTCTAGTAGTCCATGTGAGAATCACAAACGAGCATGCATTTCTTCTTCAATTCATATGATAGTCAGATGGTGTGATGATCAAAAGCGAGCATGCATTTCCCTTGTGGTCTGTAGATGGTCAGAAGTCAGCATGCTTCCTTCTGCAGGCTGTGTGATAGTCAGAAGTGAGCATGAAAGTCTCCTGCAGATGTTTCTTTTCCTGCAGGGCATTCGCAAACGCAGCGGTCAATTATTCCCATTTCTTGTGTTTGGTCCCAGCTGGCTTTGAGCCTTTCAGTTCAACACTGAGGCTGCTTACAGTGCAGTGATACTTAAAAGCAGAAGACATTAATTTTAAAAATACAATTATATACAAATCAATACTTTTATGCTTGTTGTGCTATTTACACTGTGTCTTTTAATACATCTCTGTTATTGTTGCTGTTGATGCTGTAAGACTGTGTTGGTTTCTAGGATTGTTTTTGAAGAAATCTATGTAAAAAACTCTCACTCTCTCTCTCTCTCTCTCTCTCTCTCTCTCTCTCTCTTTAATGAAAGGGCACTGCTTTGTTTGCAGGGCTGGTCACAAATCAGTGACCAGATTACACTAGTTTGTGTGTGAGGCTCCTATTGTTTTGCAGTGTACAACTGTCATGCAGTGTCAGTGGGTCTCACAAAACGGCCACAAACCATATTCATGCGGTTTTTGAGTGTCATTATTATTGTGCAGATAATCTATGTTCATATTTATTAGACCGATGAGTCTAATAAATATCATTATGGTAGATTGACAAGTGCTGGGTGGTACATTAAAAAGTCTTAAAAATTATTTTAAAGCTTTTTTTTTTAATTTCTTGCTCTAATTCTCATTAGAGCAACGTGTGTTTCTCATTACCGATAGTGTCCTTTTTTAATGAGGGAACAAAGTTTAAATTACTTTTTACTGTTGAATCTTTTTACTTATTACTTTCCTTGAAAAGTTTTAAGTGAGAAAATCGAAACAACAAAATTTTATGTGGCAGAAATACTCAGAAAATAGCTGCCAGTGAGTTGCGGTAATGAGAAATAATTGCAAAAAAGTATATTTTGTGAAGTGTATATATATATTTTACTAATTAACTTTAAAATACTCCAAATATGTAAAAATGAAATAAAAATAAAAACACATTTGTCTTCAAATCTTATGATGTTGCGGTAATGACAATTTGGTCAGAAAATGAGAAAAAATAAAAATAAAATAAATTGAATTGCTCAAATTTACTTTTAATTATTCAACTAGACATCATCGGTTGTATGTCTGAAAAATAGAAAATTATATTTTAGTAATTTTCATTTTAAGTTGGGTCCCAGTGTTTGGGGTGTTTGTGAGAATAATCCTGCTGGAGTCAAATGACCACCTTAAAAAAAAAAGAAAAAAAAAAAAGAAACGAAAACACTAACCAACCCAGATTCACATTACGCTGATCACACAAAACCAAACACAGAGTAAAAGGTAAACTCGAGCTTGGAGCTCCTCTGTGTTTTAATTGTTAACACTAGAGTCGTATGAGAAACGATGTGACCACACAAGCTAAAGAGAACCCTGCTTACTTTCATGGTTCTGTTGTAAGATGGACATTATTAGCAGACACAGGGATACGGATGTTTCTGGGTTCGGATTTGTAACCGTATCGTGCTGTATTTTACTGCCTGGTGGAAGGAGGTTAATGAATTTATACTTTTTTTAAATTAAAGATGTCATGTCAGTATTGAGGAGTATGAGTATCAGGCTGAAATGAGCAGAAAATGCTTTAACAAACATCAGGCAGTAAAAAAGAACTAATCTTATCCAATACTGTAACAAATCTAGCCTGAAATGGCACAAACTCACACTGTGTTGCGTGACGAGATGTTGTTAGTCGTGTATTTCTTCCTGTGGATTATGAGAGTGTATGCTTCAGATAAAAATGGCCCATTTATTTAAAATATTGTCTCTGTATCAGCTGATACTCAAGGTTTCACGCTGGTATTGGAAAAGAAGAAGTGGTATTGTGCCATCATGCCATCTGTCACGAATATAAAATTACATCAGCCATTTCAACTTAAGTTTGGAAATAACTGCGTTGATGTATTTTATTTGGAAATAATCTACATTACTTTGTCAGTGCGGCTCTAGCACCACTTTCATTGCTGTTGTTTTTTCAGGGATGCATCAGTCTTGAATTCTTATGGTCGATTCTGATTATTTTACAGCCAGACTGCCTGATGGACAATTTTTTGGCCCATTTTTAAAAGCCTTTTTTTAATCCGAAGCTCGCGCTGTGTGAGGAAGGTGAATATGTAAAACACACTATCACATTTCCAGCACTTTTAGCCAAACTTGAAATATGAACAACATTATTTCCTCTTTAATGGACCAAACCGGTATTTAAAATGTTTTAAATAAGTTGCCTTTTTAAATAACACAAATTAAATAAAGTGCTGCATTGAAAGTAAGAGGCAACTGGCTATTCAGCTCAATGAGTCATACATAATTATGCTATGACATTTTGGTATAGGTGTAGGAGCAGCATTCAAATACAGCACAAGTGTACTAACCTCGTGTTATTTATAACTGCAGATCTGCCAAAGTAAAAACAGTAAATTGATGTTTTGTGCAAAAATCTGCCAATTCCTGTTGTCCACCCCTATTATTCATAGGATTATTTGCTTTTACGACTCATGGACAGTATTTATCATGCTTATAGCAAGCGCTTAATGGCGAAACATGGCATTCTGTTTTAGTGCAGCACTGTCTGTTCAGGTTCATGTTAAGGCTGTACAGAGGTGCATATCAGACGGTCTGCTTCCTGTTGATGTGTTTGGGGGGAAATATCGTCAGGGGCTCACTGCTGATGGCGAGATACACATTAACCCACTTGAGCAGTTTTCTTAGCTTATTTCCCACAGTGCAGGCGTTTCAGGTGTACAGTGAAAAGGTGTCACCATAAGCAAAAATAGAAGCAGGAACTTCTATTTATTGATATACAAAAATAAATAAAGCAGACCCTGCGGTTCCTCTCATACTAAGTGGGATTGCTATTGCAGCAACACATCGTCGGTAGGGTAAAAATAGCCTGTCTCACGACAGTCTAAACCAGGGTTCCGCATCTCAGATGTTAAAACGAGCCATTTTGTCAAGTTTCAACAAAAATCGAACCATTTTGGGAACCAAAACATTTAACCTCCATTTTATTGAAGCAACATTTCACCATCTTGGTTGTAAATATGTCTCAGTATGTGCTAAAGTGCTAGTATAGGCTAAACATATAATATAAGCAATAACACAGACTTACTTTGCTCTGCTTTAAGCTTTGGCTATGCTATAGCCACTTTTCTCACATCTCCAGCAGGAAACTTTTCCACAAAAGTAGAATATTTTCTTGTAAAATGTCTCTCAACGTTTGACTTCTTATGAGGCTGAAGTCGCTTCTCATTCGCCAGCTTCTTGT